TCTCTCTTTCTCCCCCCCTCTCTCTCTCTCTCTCTCTCTCTTTCTCTCTCTCTTTCTCCCTCTCTCGTTCTATATCTGTCTCTATCTACCTCTCTTTATCTCACTGTCTTGCTCTCGCTCTGTGAGTATGAGAGTGTGTGCGCGCGCTCGTGTTTGTGTGGGTGTGTGGGTGTGAGCGTGTGTCTCGCGGGAGTACTGCTGGAGTTAAATCGAATTTGTTTCCACGTGAAGGGAAGGAAAATGCACCCAAAAAGGGGGATGGGGGGGGGGGAGAGAAGAAATTTGCCTTGCTCAAAGGCTAAAACGGGGGGGAGAATATCATAATGTTGTAATCTTATTTCCCCTTTGCCAAAGAGGGGAGATTGGTCCAATCTACTTTATGATATTTTTTCTACTTGTATGAAAACGTAGTGCCCAAGTCTTGTATATTAAAAATAATGCCTCTTTATGTCCGGAAACCTTGTCCTCCCATCGGCAGGTAAAAATTTTCGAGGTTACAATTCATAGTAATAGAACTTAACATCTTACAATCCATTTATGCGCTTTGCATACATTTGGACATTTCCTACATTTGTTGTTGTGTTCTTTTTTCTTTATTTTGGAGAGGGTGGGCTGTTTCGGGTCTTTTCTTCTTTTTATGAGAATCCTTCCGATATGGTAACACGCATTTAGTACTGTGAAAAAGAAGCATCGAAAACAAAAAGAGAAAACAGAGAGATAAGAAAGAATTAAAATTAACCCATATCGACTTCCCACTCCCTCAACCACAAAATCCCGCTTTCCGAAAAGGAAGCATAGGAAATATTAACCACTTCACTGCCTGGCACGAGAATTGAGCTGTGGAGTAGGTATAAGAGTAAAAACGTATTCCCCTTCAATTCATAAATCCCAGTTTATTTGACAATAAAATTTAATCGAAGGCTGTTTTTTCGTTTGAAGTAAGTGGATTAGTTGCGAAGGTGTCCCCTCTCATCGACCCCACTATGTAAACGGCTGAAAGCTGATTGTGTTTGCAAAAGACCAACTTCCCCTTCACACTCTCAATTTTTTTTTCCTCAGCCACTCGAACTTGTTGGATTAGATGAAGAAAAACTAATTACACCTAGACATGCAGAGATAGGACCAGTAAGTGAAAAGAGGACCAGATACGTACATGATATAGCAAAGATTGCCTTCCATCTACAAGTACATAATATTATGATTACGTCGCAGAGTATAGCCGTATAGCCTATTGAACTTAAGCTCCTGGGGTTTGGCATTGGTGGAGAACCTTAAAACTCCGCAATACAACCCAAGTTCAAGAACGCCCCATTGGGTATTCGAAGAAAAAAGAAGAAGAGGAAGGGAAAGAGGAAAAGAGAAAGACAGCAATGTAGATAATGTTATACCAATAGAAAATGACATTATTGTCAATCATAAAGTTTATGGAGTTGGCTGCCATCGTGTATACATTTCCAGAATCGTTGTAATTGTTTCGTTATTGAATGTAATTATTCATGAGTCCCTGAATGGCTTGTTTCGACATCTTCCCATCGTCCTTTTCTTCTTCTTCTTCTTCTTCTTCTTCTTCTTCTTCTTCTTCTTCTTCTTCTTCTTCTTCTTCTTCTTCTCCTCCTCCTTCTCCTTCTCCTCTTCCTCCTTCACAGAAGTGTATATAACTTCTATGTCATAGAGGTCATAATAATAGAAATCTTGAGTATGATCTACATGTGTGTAGTATGGGTGAGCGAAACTAAATCAACTGTAGTAAGATACTTGACAATCGTTAGAGACAGATCATGTTTATGATAGTGGTGTGTGTGGCCGACAAACTACAACAATGTACATCCCCTGGGTGACCACTGGGGTACTTGAAATTACCTGTTCGACCCATAGATTATTGAGAAATGTTGAGACCTTCACTGAGAGGTACCCACGGCTAAAAATAAACACCTTAGCTTCAATGATCTACCCATAATGGATCTACCAGTACACACAAATGCTACTGTCATTGCACTGCGGGTCCTGCTCGAATCTTTATTATTGTTGACTAACGGTGTGAAAGAGCACCACCTCAACTGACCTATTGCACTTTTTGCTTTTAACATTAGAAGGAGTATGCCCTACTACTGAGAAGGATACAAAAAGATGCAAATGAATTCACTTAGAAGTGGGATTTCGGAAGATAGCACAGACTGACCCACATACTGAGGCCTAACACTGATCGTATCGACTTTTCCTTTAATGATAAACTGAAAATTAAGCTCCATTCATTTGTTATTTACCTTTTTTTGCTTCATTGACTCAATATTTGAGCCTCGATTATCCTGAATTAAAGCTAACACATTTGTTTTAGCCGAGGGGCCACCTTTTAGGACATAGCTCAGGTTATACCATAGGTCTTGATCCGTCTGTAACCAGTCAATGACCAGTGTGAAGTCAAAGAGATTATACCCCAGGGGATACATTATGCATGCCTAAAGAGTCTAATTAGGATCTCGTTAAGTTGATCTCCCCCTGTCAAAAGATAGATCTTGTCCTGTGTGTGAGGGACAGTGACAAAGGATGATTCAGCTTCACAGAGGTTGAGATCAAGGTGGTTTTGACTTGTCCCGGGTCTAGGAATTATATCCTTCGCAATGTCTGTCACCATTTTATACTGCTCATTGGTGGCCCTGGTGTTTCTTATTCTATGGAAATGTGAGTCTGTATTTTATATAGAGACATATATTTTGATTATTTAGTATAGACTTAACACCCCATTCAACACTGTACGGTAATTCAAGAGCTATAAAGTCCATCTCCGATAGGACCTAGCCAAATGGGTGGAGAACCTTAAAACTCCGCAATACAACCCAAGTTCAAGAAAGCCCCATTGGGTATTCGAACCAGGTTCATCCGCTCCGCTGTTCAAAGCGATACTAGGGTAACAAAACGCCCTATATAGAAACATATTCCATTCCACTTTATTTCTGAACTGAAATCAAATGCAAATGTGACATTCGTTAGACACCACCATAGAAAATGTATAATATTAAAATGTGAAAAGCTATTAGACTTTGCATTTGTAAGGTCATGCTCAAGCTACTGAGCATAGCTTTAATTGTTACTTTTTAGGCTATTTTTAACGTTCCTCTTCACCATTTAATTCATTATTGGTTTTACTGTAAAGCCGTTATATGTTGCACTGTGATGAGGGATGTCTTCCTAAATTGCCAAATTTGAAATAGGCGTCGGCAGTAATGGCTTGCCACTCATTTCAATACTCAGTTGCTTTGTTTTCTTGGTCTTTTCTGGTCACCCATATATTCAATTTGTCTAAGTTAGTTATTGTTTGCTTAAATCTACTTCTGCCTCTTTCGTCTTCTACTTTTCCAATGAGAGAAAGATATTTAAGGCCTTGTCGATTCAAGTGTTCAAGTGTGCATTTAGTTCTTTCTTTATCATCTTTATTAGTAACAGTTTCACTCTGGCTTCTTTCAGCACAACCTCGTTTGATTTGTTTTCTTCCAGGAAATTCTCAATAATACTTTCGTAATAAACCATATTATTCCTCTTGTATCTGGTTTATTCCCACAATCTTAAGTAATTGTCCAGAGTTCATAGCCATAGAGGGGGGTTGATCACGCATAGCCAATATCTTTCATAATTGAGATGCTTCTATTTTTCAGGATTGGACTTTATTAAAGCCAAAGCTATCTTTAGCCTTTGTAATTCTTCCTTTCATTTTTTTTAAAGAATAATTTTTGGGATTTTTATGGCTTTTTTTAAATTGGGGGATTCGGGATTGGGGGGGGGGGTTGAAAAGGAGGGGGGGTGGAAAGGAATTCCACAACAGGTGATTTGTCTGGTCATAGGCGAGGCGATACGCTGTCATTCAAAAGAAATTTAATCTGTGACTTCTTTATTTGAACTAAAAAATTATGATCGAGACCATCTTCACTGTGTAATTGAGAAGCCATAATAGCTACGTTGAACGGATTTCTGATGGGAAAAAATTAGCCCTTTAGACGCAAATGTTGAGCACTCTTCCAGTGAATATGTTGTGTGCGTGTTTGTATGTGTGTGTTTGTGTGTGTGTGTGTGTGAGAGAGAGAGAGAGAGAGAGAGAGAGAGAGAGAGAGAGAGAGAGAGGGGGGGGGGAGAGAGTTGGTATCACGCTGAACTAATAAGCTGATGTGCCTGGTTCGAATCTACAATGGGGCGTTCTGAATTTGAGTTGCTTTTGGGGAGTGTTTAAGGTCCCCGCGTCTTAAATGACCATACAGAGTTAAAAGGAGCGTTTAACCTATACAACAACCAACGGCCGATTAACTGAGAAAACGTCCACATCGGACAGGAGTGCAAAGTGAGCGAAGAAAAGTTTTCGAGCAGCCTAGGTCGAGAAAGACTTTAGACTTATGCCTCCTTTAGTTTCCAGTATCTCACCAACTGTCCGTTGACCATACTTTGGATCACAGCTATAGAATGGACTCATCTATATTGCCAATTAGAGCGTCTTAACACCTCGTGATCGTACAGCTTGCTAATTTTTCTATGTATCGTCAAAGAACTACATGTAGTTTGGTGTCGGCTTATATTCTCTACTTGCATAGTACCAAAACCATTATTGTATGAGTATATTCTTAAACAAATCTCCAACCAAACATACACGCGGGGTGGGGGGGGGGGAGAGAAGGAGGGAGGGAGAGAAGGGGGGAGGGGGAGTGAGAGAGGGAACAGGGAGGAGGAGCTCATAAATAGGACAGATAGATTGGGAGAGTAGAAGAGGGAGAAGGGTAATGGAACCGAACGAGCAAGCGAGGCAGAAGGTGATGGAAGCAAAAATATTTAAAATATTTAAAAAAACAGGGGAACAAAAAATAGCTGAAAAGAAGTGTGAGGTGGAGGGAGAGAGGGAGGAGATTGCAACTTTACACAGCATCACGGTGTTCAGTAGACAGAAACGTTAAATACAAAATGTATTTGCAATTTGTCATTCAGAAAAGGGTGGCGATTTTTGTTTTGTTTGTTTGTTTTCTTTTATTTAGGGGAGGAGGTAACGTAAAAGAAGCTGACTCACAGCTATAAAGTGCACGATCTTGCAGACATGACCGTACCTCATAATGTGCAATCTGGGCAGTAGCCAGAGGGCCTTGGGGATATTAGCCTGATGTTAATTTATGCATGTTGTGACTTTCTGTCGATTTGTAAATGCTAGATCTATACTGTACCATAAGCAGACAGAGGGAAATCCTTTGCCCGAGGGGCCTGTTAGCCTATAATGCTGGTAGGGCGGTTCTGTATCACAATGCCGCTGACAACGATGGATGTCAGCACGAGGTTAGGGCACAGTTCAAAAGTTTATACAACGATTATGTGCGCTATATATGCACAGAAACATAGTGCATGTATTATTACATATAGGAGAGTAATCTCTTCTAAAAATGCATTACAAGTGGGTAAATAAAGGTTATTTTAGTTGGTCATTTTTTTACCAATGGAAGAAAGGTGAAGGGGGCATTTTATAACAGGTTGTGATATTAATGGTGAAAGTGAGATTTGAAAAGAGGAAGTTAAAAGGGAAGGGGACTAACGGGAACAATATTTCATTGCGATATTGTTTTATGAGGGTGAATAATTCTGAGCACAGTTTTTATTTTTAGCAGCTGATCAACATCTGCGTATGATAGAGCCGAGCAAAGCGAAAGAAAAGCCTTAAAAACCAAAGACAACACTGAAGTTCATAAAATCACACTGAAGATTTGAACTAAGATCGCCTGCTCCGCAATCCTTCTCAAGATTCTCCTTCTGTGTACCATCCGGCATATGACTGATATGCAATTGCTTCAATCTTGGGGAAATGGGTGCATCGTGTGGTACCATTGACGAAAGTTGTATAAATACTTTCACTGAAAATTATACTCTACAATGGTCAATTTGCTTTAATTTTGTGTGACATTTTGCACGCTCGCATAAAACACATACAGTACTAGGAATGTGCTCCATTTATTGTCTCCAACTCTAGCGTATAAGATTGTTAGTACGCATAAACAACAGAGTTTCCAGTCAGGGTGAAACTACATCGAAAACGTCACTGGTCAACATATATATA